TTAGCCATAGGTCATTGACTAAGGCTCGATCCATGAATTGCCAAAGCAGACCTCTACTGCAAGTGAACATAGGGCCGAAAAACTATACGTCAAGCGAACTACAGTCGTCCACACATTGCTTGAATTCACGGTAGCGAGTAGCCGAACAATGTGCCCCTCTTTGTCACTCCACAAGCGAGAGGCTTGAGCTGATAGTGAGCAGATGGAATCTCAAAACTCAAAAAGGTCTAATAGGACATGTTGCCCATATACCAAAGTAAGGAGGGCCTTTTCACCTGAGCAAGAAGTTACGTCAAACTGGGATTGATCGTTCCATGGATACGCATAGAATCCTCCATCGATGTAGTTACAATTGTTGTCAAGTACTTCACACCTAGCATAGGTGCTTATTCCCCTTTGGAATGGGCGGTGGGATGACTAATGGTTCTTGGATCTACCTGAGGTTCCACGATCTGGTTCATGTTGGTGCGATCCTTCCCTATGGTAGTCTTGGTTTGGCTGTTGCTATGCGTTTCTAGGCGTTTGTCTCCGACCCTTGGTTTCCCTGTTCCAACTAGATTTCCCTTATAATAGGTGTTGTCTGTAGTTTTGGCCTTGGGAATCTTTGTGGAACCTCCCTCATGGGAATGTTGTGGTTCCTACGCGGAGATGTTCTCCAATTGGCTGTCGACTATCCAGAGATCTTCGAGATGGGCTATGTAGACTTAGTTCCCACCCTTATCATGGTTTCTTCGACATCCATCGAAGATGTTGATTTCATCTCCACTCCTTCCTCTTCAAGAACTGTGAAATGTGAGCCTTGAACAAGTGCTTCTTTGATCGAGGGTGACGCTCTACTGTGGGTTCTCTTTTGAAGACCCGATTTTGGCTCTTATAAGCTTCTTCTTAGCTGCAAACCACTCGTCGAATTTTTGGTTAAGGTTAAGCGTATTTAGGGTAGCTGAGGTAGCTATAGGAGGCGTTGAAAATACTAGGGGGGGGGCACCTTCTCCATTTTGCATGAGCAACTCAAAGTTTTTACTTTTTAGGCATTAACGGCTATAGTCAAAGCATATTGCATGCAGTCTTTCGTACTCAATAGGGTATTTTATTCTTTCTAGCTCAAACATTTTCTAGAAGGGGTTTTGACTTGTCCACTTCCACAGATGCACGAGTGAACTGCCCACGACCTCCGGCTTCAGTTTCTGCATCAACTCGTATTGGTTTGGCAGTGAGACCACCGATGTGATGAACCGCTATTGGATCAACCAGAATGAGAAGGAAGTGTACCCAAACTAGGAATTTTAATTGGTGCGCTCCATAGCGGTTGAAATTCATTATCCATTGATGCATCATGAGATAGTGGTCCCCACCATCCATGGCCTGCCACACGATCTGTGAATTTCGGTTTCCAGTTTGAAACATACGAGATAGTAATTTTTCACAATATCCATGACTTGGATCTCAAAGGGTTTCGCCCATAGTGAGACTATCCGGCGATGTAGGAACCTATACAGATAGCTCTTCCCCAACATCTTGACCATCAGGGAAGACTGCGATTAAGCAGAGGGGATCCTGTATGATCTAGTCTTGATTGTTATCTTTGCGTATGGCTTCCTCAACATCCCCCGTATCAGAGTCTTCCACACACTAGCCCTCGTAATGAGAGATCTCGCAAAAAAGAAGACAAGCATCGCTGAACCAAATTTGATCCTGGTTATTTTGGGTACGTATTGAGTTCTTCAAGACTTTTGTTGGACCTACGACATCCTTTGACATTTTTTCAACCGTGGGAGAGACGAAATGCGACACCAAGAACTCTGGTTCTACGTCGCATTGAACGCCGAAGAGGGGGTACCTTGGCTCTCTTTTCTGTGTGTTGTGTCTCCATCATAACTTTATCCTTGGGAGAGGAAGGTGCTGGAGAGGGTATTCTAGCCCTTGTGATGTTTTTTTAGGCTGACTGTGATTGCGGCATAGCAAGGTCCTCAACGACTTCCATGGCGGAGACGACAAAGATGGGAAACGAGAAGGAATCACTTAGGTTTCCCTAAGAGAATTACGCGCTATACGTTTCAATAATGAACAAGAAGTCAAGTATTAGTAGTATTTTAGTTTATAGTTCTTCAAAGATGAACCGAGGGGATCCAAATATAGAGTTTGGGGATCTATGTGGAGAAACTAGAGATGAGGCTTTTCGGCTTGGCTCATGACCTGAATGCTACGCTTGAGATGGCACTAGGGAAGACAATCGGTTGGGTTGGGGCGGGTTTTGCCAGACCCAAAATCAAACCCATGGGTTTATCCACAAAAAAAAAACCCCCCATAAAACACGCTGGATTTGAAAACGTCAAACCAACCCAACCCGCTGGGTATCCACGGGTTCATGGGTACTCGTGTGTATTTGTGATAAAAAAATTTACAATAACAATTAACAAGAAAATATCAAAATAAAAATCAAGCATCAATCTCTCCACACAAAGTATCCGCAAATATACACATCATTCTAGAAAATTCAAGCAAATCACACACTATACATACAAATTGTTCAACACCAATCTAGAACAAATCAATCTAGTTAATTTAAGGGATAATACCACTAGGAAACCGGAACTATTAAGAATGTGTCATTTGTGTCCTCAAGTATCCAATATGACATTTGTATCCTAAACTATTTTTCTGTTAGAGTTGACCGGCGTTGACCGTTAGTATTTAACAAATGGCACATTCTTAATAGTTCGGGTTAGGACATAAATGAGACAAAACTATAATACGTTGGGACATAAATGACACAAAACTATAATAGGTTGGGACACAAATGTCATATTAGATACTTTAGGACACAAATCTCCGTACCTTGAAAGGCTTCTCGGCAGTGGCTACCGAAGCCAAAACCTGAAGTAGAGGAGGAGCTGTAACGGAAAAAAGGAGAAGTAGGGGAATCCGGGAAGGGCGATAGTTTTTTCCCTTGCAGGCCGAGTAGAGGAGGAACAGGGGAATTTGGGAATGGCGAGAGTCAACGAGAGGCGGAGGCGAGCGAGAATCGACGGGAGGTGGAGGCTGAGCAAAGAGTAGGTCTGGGTATGGGACTGGGAGGGCGGCGGGTCGACGAAGGAGTCACCGCGACTCCGAGAGCCGTCGGGAATGGCGGTGGAGAGGAGCGAGACGAGAATCAAGTTTGGGAGTCGGCGGCCGTCGGGACGGGAGGATGGAGGCAGAGTGGAGTCTCGCGATTCAGGGAGGGAGAGGGATGGAATTGGAGGGGCGACGGGGTTTCTGTTTGTAGGAGATGGGGGGTAATTTGGAAAATGTTAGGGTCTTAGCTTTTAAGGATTTAGGGTTACTAAGTGTGACCGGGTATACACGGGGCGGGTACCCCCAAACCCGAACCCGCATCAACCCGCTTAACAAGACACCGAGTTTAATCCCGAACTCGATCAACATGATTTTTATCCGCTTTGATCGGAATAGGTCAGGCTGGAGGCTGAGCAAAGAGTAGGTCTGGGTCTGGGAGGGCGTCGGGTCGACGAAGGAGTCACCGCGACTCCGAGAGCCGTCGGGAATGGCGGTGGAGAGGAGCGAGACGAGAATCAAGTTTGAGAGTCGGCGGCCGTCGGGACGGGAGGATGGAGGCAGAGTGGAGTCTCGCGATTCAGGGAGGGAGAGGGATGGAATTGGAGGGGCGACGGGGTTTCTGTTTGTAGGAGATGGGGGGTAATTTGGAAAATGTTAGGGTCTTAGCTTTTAAGGATTTAGGGTTACTAAGTGTGACCGGGTATACAGGGGGCGGGTACCCCCAAACCCGAACCCACCCGAACCCGCTTAACAAGACACCGAGTTTAATCCCGAACTCGATCAACATGATTTTTATCCCCTTTGATCGGAATAGGTCAGGCTGGAGGCTGAGCAAAGAGTAGGTCTGGGTCTGGGAGGGCGGCGGGTCGACGAAGGAGTCACCGCGACTCCGAGAGCCGTCGGGAATGGCAGTGGAGAGGAGCGAGACGAGAATCAAGTTTGAGAGTCGGCGGCCGTCGGGACGGGAGGATGGAGGCAGAGTGGAGTCTCGCGATTCAGGGAGGGAGAGGGATGGAATTGGAGGGGCGACGGGGTTTCTGTTTGTAGGAGATGGGGGGTAATTTGGAAAATGTTAGGGTCTTAGCTTTTAAGGATTTAGGGTTACTAAGTGTGACCGGGTATACACGGGGCGGGTACCCCCAAACCCGAACCCTCCCCAACCCGCTTAACAAGACACCGAGTTTAATCCCGAACTCGATCAACATGATTTTTATCCGCTTTGACCGGAATAGGTCAGGCTGGGTACCCACGGGTCCGGGTTTCATTGTCATCCCTAGATGGCACACATAAGACGGAATTGAAAGGGGCAACATGTATGATTCCTATATTTTTCAATCTCTCAATTGAAAATGATTCTTTCATTTTCATCTAATTCATAAATGAAGATATTGTAAAATGTTCTATTACACTTTTTTTACAGAAAATCTGAACTTTCTATTACTCTGTAAAAAAGTGTTATTAGTTATAACTTGAAGTAATAATGTAATATTACAAGGAATAATTTTTTGGTTGTTGACATTGCTAATAGAAATATGTTAGAAAGAATAGCATCCCCTTCCCTCAACTAATAATTCATTGTAAGTTATTATTACCAGAATATATATATAAAAAAATAACTCTGTTAGCAGTCGAAAATTTCTGTAAAACCGATTAAGATCTCAAGAAGATTCACATAATCGTGATTTTATTTCAGATTAAGATTACATTAACCGATTTGTTGAAGTTAATCCCCCCTAAAAGAAAGACAAGTTTACAAAGTGATAAGTAATAATTAAGTTAATCTCGGAAATTAGCAGAGGAGGAAGTTGAGTTCCAATAAACCTCTCCATCCTTACACACTCTCCCAATATTTAAACTGCCCCCGTCCCATTTGTTTCTCTAACTCACTCATTCACGAATCCATCCATCCATCCATTCTACGTCTCTTGGTTCTAATTAGGAGCCCAATGACCGATCATAGTTCCCGGCCCCCGGCCGGCGACCAACTCCTTCAGCTGTCACTCCAATTGGGCACACTGTCAACAACCCCCCGGCGGCGCGACGCCCGGGTGCAGGCAAGGCGCACAGGCATCACCAAAAACAGGCCGGCCGGTCGGCGTCCCCGGCGTCCCCGGTCGAACCCGGTCCCGGAGGGCAAATCGGAAACCATTCCGGCTCCGTACCCGTGGGCCACGAACCAGCGGGCCCGGATCCACACGATGAGCCACCTCATCAGCCAAGGGATCACGTCCATAACGGGGCAGGTGCAGTGCAAGAAGTGCGAGGAGAGGTACGAGATGTCGTACGACCTGGTGTCCAAGTTCGAGGAGGTGGCGGCGTTCATAAGCGAGAACAAGTACAGGATGCACGACCGGGCGCCCGCCGTCTGGAGCGACCCGACCCTGCCCGACTGCAGGGCCTGCGGGGGAACCGACTGCGCCAAGCCCGTCATGGCCAAGAAGCGGGACATCAACTGGCTCTTCCTCTTGCTCGGCCAGCTCATCGGCTGCTGCAAGCTCTGGGATTTGAAGTACTTCTGCAAGCACACCAGCAACCATCGGACCGGGGCCAAGGACCGGGTCTTGTACTTGACCTATTTGGCGGTTTGCAAGCAGCTCGTGCCATCGGGTCCTTTCGATGCCTGATCATCATCACTTTGTTTGTTTTAGGCTTCACTCACTTTTTTCTTGGTAGTAGATCAGATCCTCTTTTATCAATTATAATATAACAAGAAAAATCATCAGTCAGAGAAAATACTTAATTAGGAGTTGGAATAAAGCTCTATTTGTATTATATATATATATATATATATATATATATATATATATATATATATATATATATATATATATTTATATTGTGAAACCGTTACTCTATATATTTTAGATGCAGTTTATTAAAGTATGTGTTCGACTTTAACTATGAAATAGGATTCTGTTCGGAAGAAGAAATAATGACATGAAGTTGTCTACGTGTATATGACTTTTGCTTTGCATCATATTATAACAATTTTGTGAGAAAATTACAGTAACATAAATAGTGACAAACTAGAAAATTCACCAATATCCACGACAATAAAATGAGTATAAAAATGTTGGTGTTTTCGTGACCATATCATATCACCATCACTAATACTTTGTTACAAATATTTATATTCATGACACGTCCACTCGTGATTCTGAATATTGTCGATGACAATAAAATGTCGTCCAAAATAGTTCATCACAAAATTTCATATTTGTGATATATAGTTCTTCATAACACCTAAACAAGGTGTTATCGACCCTTCATTTCTCAATGGTTTCACATTCTTTTTAGCATTAACTCAACCCTAAATCGTTGCATTTTGGTCTGCGATTCTTTCGTATTTTTATATCAGCAGGTTTTAGATTTGCATAGCAAAGTTGAGCGATAAGTGATGTAGCAAGAATCTGAAATGGATAGTTCATTGTCTCAGGAAGAAGAACACGGCCGAGATTCAATGACCATGCTCTAAGTTCACAGGTGACTTAAGAAGTTGATGACCATGTTCCTTTCAGATCATGCCATGACCCCTAGAAACGATAAAAACAGAAGAAGCAGAGGGTTGTAGCCTGACTCACTGGCAACAAAGGGAGACCGCGAGATAAAGATAGCGAGCGTCAACATGATGTTGTGATTTCCATGACGTTTTAGAATTAGGTTATTATGTGATCAGGGGCAAAATTGTCTCTTTGTATAAATCTAGGGCGATAAATTCAAATAGTTAGGGAGACGATTAGAAATTCAGTTTGTATTTTGTTATATATTAATATTGTGTAACCATTGCTCTATATATTTTAATGGATTGTCTTTTATCGATTGGCTGAAAGGATGGGACTTGCGATAGATGCACTTTATTAAGGTATAGGTATTAGCTTTCAGCCCGGCCCCATGGCCGGTTGTGAGGCAAGAGGTCTAAATAGATTTTGGTTTCGGTTTCAATTCAGTAATGATAATTAGATTTGGGTCCGCCTTAATCGGATGAATTTCTCTAATAGTATAGACTAACAAAGTAATTATCCGAAAAAGCCATGTCTTCTTTGCAGACAGAATTATGAAAATTGTTCTCACGTTTATCAAGGGTTTAGAGGCGATGGAAACCCTGATCCATCCTCGTGAAATTCGCCTGGCTGGTGGTCATGAATGCCTGCAAAATATTTTTCAGCTCCGTCATCTGAGTATCTGGAGCTGCAGCTGCTGGAGGCTGGGCATACTGACGCTGGGGCTGCTGGAATGGCTGCCCCTGCCTAGGCTGGTAGGGCTGCTGCTGTGGCGGTGGCCCCTGCCTAGCCTGGAAGGGCTGCCTCTGTTGAAAACCACCTGCTGGTGCTGGGAAACCAGGTGGTTTAGTGTTTTTGTTACCCCAAGCGAAGTTGGGATGCTGGCGCCACCCCTTGTTGTATGTATTGTTGTATGGGTCAAGGCGCCGAGCATTGCCAATGAAGTCCACCTGCTCTTGGTAAGTAGAAGACTCCCGCATAGCCTGACAGTCCTCCACCAGATGATTCAGGCTCTCACGCCATTGACATTGAGCTACTGGAGGCGTAGCCAAACCTCGGCCCGGAATAAGACTGTTGGGCTGCTTCAATGTCTGCACTAACTCAGCCACCTGCTGCTTGAGTCCGGATATGGCCTCCATGGCGTGCACACCACGATCCCGGGAATTTCTGCCTCTGCTGCTCTGCCCCTAGGAATGATCTCTGGAAACCAATGTACTGATCATCTGGTTCAGTTCGGGTGGAGTCTTAGTAAGGATATCCCCTCCTGGGCATAGAGACTCAATCACCCTCTGGATTTCCGGAGAGAGAGCACTGTAGAAGTTCCCCACGGTGAATGCATCACTGAAGCCATGATGGTGATACTGCCAGAAAAATCCCATGTACCGCTCCCATGCATCACGAAGTGATTCATCTGGCTCTTGGCGGAAGTGAGTGATCTCCCGCTGGATCTCTGTAGTCTTCGATGCCGGATAGTACCTGTGCACGAACTTATCAGCCAGATCGTCCCAAGAAGTGATGGACAATGGGGGCTGGGTCTCCAACCACCTCTTAGCATGCACCGCCAGAGAATGGGGGAAGAGGTGAAGGCGGATTGCATCATCAGGGACACCGTTCAGCTTGAACCCGTTCGTCAGCTGCAGGAAACATGACAGGTGCACCCTTGCCTCCTCATCCTTCAAGCCATGAAACTGGACAGAGGATGTAATGAGTAGAATCCAGCATGGCTTGATCTCGAAGTTGTTCGCTGTAATAGGAGGGTAGAGGATGACAGGGCGAATATCAGCAACCCGTGGAGTGTAGTAGTACTCCAAGGTGGGACCCGGCGGCGGTGGATGATGATGAACCCCATCTGCCTGGGTTATGAGGTTGTTCCCCAAGAATTGATTCACCGGGGGAACTTGGAGAGGATTCCCCTGAGGTGGGTTGTGTTCGCCTTCCATCTCGTACTCTTCCTCAGAATCGCTGCTCAAGTGGCCGTCTATGCGCTCTTCCGTAGCCAGTCTAGCTCGCTGTCGTCTCCTAAGTTGGCGGCAGGTGCGTTCAAGCTCCGGATCCAACGACAGTAAACCTCCCGACTGGCTACGGGTCATGCACTATCTGCACACAGTCAAGCAATGCAAACCCGTGAAGGCACAAGTGGGAAAGAACAAACAGTCAATGCGAAAATGAAAATGCTAAAGTAACAGAAATCACTTTTCTTCAACAATCTAGCCTTCCCCAACAACGGCGCCAAAAACTTGACTCACTCCTACTATCACTCTAGAAAATGGCCAAGTGTAACCACTTCCTAAAGTGTAGTATAGCGGGTTTGGGTTTTAATGTCAACCCGGGTCCTAGATGTGATGACTACTCATTGAATTCTTATTATCTAGCAGTGAAACTTTAGTGCAGGTCTAAACTAACTAACAAGCAAGCAGTTAAACAGTTGTTTTCAAGTCGAGAGAGGTCACCCGGATATGGTTCCCCCTAGACTGCAGTTAAGCCGGATTGCATTTTACCAAGTTCAGTTTCAATGATAGTTATACTGCGGGAGGTTCTTAAACAGCCTGAAGTCTCGACTAGAGGTCTCCAGACCCTCTCAATCCGAGTCTCCAGCGGGCGACGAACCTCCACTGGAGTAAAAAGATTGAGGCCCTAATGAACAAAATCTCCACTACCGAAGTGAATTCGGTACAGAATAGTGAGTTGGCTCCTCGACTAAAGTCACCAACTCCCTACCTTCAATCAAGGGTGCTCTATCAATCCTAGGCGAATATTCTCTTTCTAGGTTAAAGCAGAAACAACAGGAATTTGATCAGGATTCATGTCATTCAATCAATCAAACCTCAATTGAATATAATCAAATCACACAATCTGTACTTGGGTTCATACAATCAGACCTAACCTAAAAATCTAGGGTTCTTCTTACCCAGGTGAATAAGAAGTTTACTCCATAGAGAGAGATGGAAAATCTAGCTCAGATGCGGAAACCATACTGTGAAGGATGATGATCTGCTTCTGGTGCTCAATCGGAGTTTCTCCAAGCTCAAGCCGGGCTCCAATGGTGATGAAGACCACGCTAGGGCACTTGGGAACTCTGGTTCGTCGTTTTCTCTCTCTAGGAATCGCTCTGTCTCTCTAAAACTCGGAACCCCTCTATTTTGGCCTTCTTTTCTCTTAAGAAGCTGTCTGCCGCGATCCCCGGCCAGAATACCTGGCCGGGTATTTTGGGCTGAGACCGGGCATTTTCAAAACGCTGCGTCGGGTCAGGGAAAAATCCCCGATCTGCTCTAATAATCCCCGACCGGGGATTTATGCTTCACGACCGGGACCCCTCCTGTTTCTCAGATGCAAAAATCACATTTCCCCGGTCCTCTCAAAATAATACCCGGCCGGGTATTTCTGGTCATGGCCGGGTATTTTTCTCCTCCATCACACTTCGACCCAAACGTGCTCCTTTCGACCCGAAACTCGTTTCTTCGCCTCGATTCCAACGCCGAGCCCTGAAATATGACATAAATGCACAACCTCGCGTGAAATCGGCTTAAAACACGAGAATCCATCTCTCAAACGGCTCAAGAATAGGGGTAAAAACAGGTGTAATTATTGGTCTATCAGTTAACGTGCTCCGACAGCTGAATTTCTTCATCTTGGGATGTTATGGATGACACACATGTGTGAGTGTTCACCGCACGGGATATGACCCAATGGTCGACTCTCTTGCTCTTGATGGCCCGGACCCTACCCTTGCATCCCTCGTGTTGATTTTGGCATCTAACTATGAGCCTCTTTGTTTCAGAGTGAGTTGTGTGCCATTCAAAACTCTGAGTCATTGCTTCTGTGGCAATAGCGTGTCACACCTCATTTTTGGTAGCAAATTGTTGGCCCTTCGTAAACCCAGTCAATGGACCCCATACTGGAACCTCTGGTGGCTCCATGTCGGCATCAACATACCAAATTTCATTTGGAATGTGATTGTAGTACGGGATAGGTACACGGTCACGAGACACATCGTCATCATCTGGGTCTGACTCTGGGCCTGAATCATTAGCACCTTCAAGAGTGCCGAAGTTGTCTGCACTCACATCACCTTCCTCCTCTTCATCGTCAAGGTCACTAACTGTACATGGCATGGGATCTTCCAT